AAATCTGAATTCCTTTCTTTTGTACTTATTTACTAATATATATATATATATATATTTGACAATAATCAAGAAAATGCATTATGAAACGTAGCATATTATTAATATTCACATTTCACTGGTATTTTAGGGATTTACTTTATTTTTCATCTCTGTAAAACTCTCATTACAGTAATAATTGATAGTTTAATAAAGAAAGTTAGAATTAATTCAAGTATTTGTTTTGTTTTTTTATTAAATTAAACAGCACGACCAAGTCTTGGTGCAGCTCGTCGTTCTTGCATGATGGATTCGATATCATATTGATTATCATTTGTTGTATCTTCATCTCCATTATAATATCGACCGGCATGACTTAATCGTGAATGTAATGAAGCAGCAGCATTTCGTCCAAGACGTGGTGAAGCACGGCCAAGTCGAGGTGATGCACGACCAAGTCGGGGTGAAGCACGACCAAGACGTGGTGCTGCTCGTTCGACCATATCTGAGTCTTCAACGAATAAGCTATTTGGATAAAAACTATCAATCATTTGATGCTCTGATGATTGATCAACATCGATTGATTTTGAATTAATAGACGAACAACAAACTAATTTAAGTGAAAAAGAGAAACAAAGATCTTTCAAGAATTTCTTAAATCATAGAATAATATACCGAAAAGAAGAGCTGCTAAGATTAAAAGCCAATTTAACTTTATCATACTTGATATACGTTGTGTAAAACCTTGATAAAATAATTCAGTGTAGAATAAGAAACTAAAAATTAAATTTTATACCTATTGGTGATGACATGATGATGTGTGTTGGAAAATCTAACTGTGTCTGAAGGAAGTAATAAAATAGTATATTTTCTTTTTCTTATTTTTCTCTTTTCTCGATCTCTAATATTTGTTCTATCTTTTCCTTAGAATTAATAATATTGTGGGTGTAGATTGCTTTCACTATTGGTTACAATTGTTTATTGATTGTCTATTGATTTTTGTTAGATGTGTTTCTTTTGCTTATTACACAATGTCTACTGAATATATTCTATAGAACAAATGAATTGTTTTTGTCTATTTATTTACCATAGATTCATCAAAATAAAATATAAATCAACAGAAAAATCCTAGATATTATTACCATCAGACTTCAACTATGATAAGAATACCACTTTATTCTTTTGTTCATTTTTATTAGAAATAAAAACTCTACTATAGAACATGAAGCGCACATTGATTGTGATATCCGGTAGTTGTCTTTTCTTAAAACAAATATAACTTGAGTACTGACTCTATGTTGAAAAGACTGAAAAAGTAATAGATATTCAATGAAAACAAGTATAAATCAATAACATCAAAAACTTCAATAAAGAGTGAGAATATCTCTCATACTCTATCGTATAATTATAAAAGAAAAAAAAAGATATTTTTTAATAAAAATTCTGTTATACATATTTTATTTTATTTACTAATCAAACAATGCAATTCTTCGTTAAAGAAGACATTAATTATAGAAAAAAAAAGAGAATTTGAATCAATTTCAAGGAAAATTATGTTTGCTAGATAACAACATAATTTATTTTAATATACAATACGGAAAGTATTTCGGAAAGAAAGTAAATATTTTCAACATGAAGATTTAATGATTATTATCTTTGACCTTAAAAAGAAAATATTCCGATGAAAA